GATGAGGGAGAGCAAAATGGAGGCAGAGGGTTAGAAAGAGAGCAGGAGACTGAAACAGGAACAGAAAGACAGACAGGACTGCAACACGTACATGCAGCGTTACATACACTCCTACACGCTCGCAGGCAGGAGACGCAGGAATAAACAAAGTAGCTGAACGTGGACAGACCCGTTTGTAAATGATATTCAAAAGTGAAAGGTGAATCTGAGTGCAGCGCAGCCCGCCGCCGGACTACAGCCGAACTGACGTCAGCAAAAGAAAAAAAAACAAACACAAACAGGAAAGTGTCTTTTTATTGACACACTCGGAGCAGAAACCAGTTCTGTTCAACACCTACGCCTAAAATAGAACAAAGACGCCTGTTCCTGGCTGTCCGGGCCTGCCATGATTCGTCGTCGCACCTCTCTGATGCGGGCCTCGCAGGAAATCCCTCACGATGGCGAGCGCCAGCCCCGCTACAAGTAGGCGGACGCGCCAAGAGACAGAGCTAAGGCTAAAAACTTCATCCCGTCTCATCCGATGCGTGTGCCACGAACAGGAAAATGCACAAGACGCCTCCTTGTGTGTGTGTTTTTTTAGAGCCCTTGTGACGCACGGAGCCTCTGAACAGGCAGAGGCTGCACGACGCGCTGTCTGACTGTGACAGGCAGCGTTTAACAAGCTTTAGATGCACAGACTTAAAGGAATGTGTGGAAAAATACAGAAAACGCTCTCTTACTGGTGCAAACACATCAACGCACATTATTCTGTCTGCATAAAAAAAACAAATGTGACCAAGAGGACTCTTGTGGCAAATAAAAAAATTTAAAAAGGAAGATCAGCAGCTCTGCTTCCACACCTCGCTGCAACAGGATGTTCTGCACAAATAAACACGGTGGTTGAAGTACGGAGTGTTCGTCTATTTAGGCTTGTGGCACTGCTAAACCGCACAGCAGGCGCGCAGCTATCGCAGGACAAATGATAAAACCAGGCTCTCGTCAATATGAAGCACATCCTACGTACTGCACGGGGTTTCAGATGACGGTCGAGTCGCTGATCTGCAGAGGAGAACACGCAGCCCCGCTTCAAAAACCGCATGAACTCGATTTGGATTACCACTCTTAACTTTTCTAGTCGCCTGAGATTCCAACAAGCATCAGGTTTCTTCTTTAAAAAAAAAACAATAGCGATACAGAATTTACTTTAGTGAGAACCTCAGCTGGCTTAAACTGACGTGTAAAGAGAATAAACGTTAAATGAACCGTCCCGTTGCAGGCTCAGTCATGCTCAGTCTGCCTGAAGAAGTCCTCTGGATGAAAGGTGAAACGTTTCAACAAACAACTCGCCCAGAGGACCTGACTCAACCTTATTAGAGTTCAAAGAAATAAAGCTGCTGTCAGTGACGCAACAGGGACTCCACGGTAACCACACACCTGTGTCTCTCACTCCCTGACATGCGACAGGAACGCGTAGCAGAGATTAAGCTTGAAAACTGTGTTTCAGAATTTGAAAGTTCCTGGAGAAACGTCAAAGTTCATGCTCGATAATCCAGGTAAAAAATCCAACAAAGTTCAGTCGGGGCAGCTGGACGGTTTCTTTTTTGTTGTTGAGACGTTTCATCCTTCATCCAAAGGACTTCATCAGTCCGATGAGCCACAACAAACTCAGTCCCACAAGCAGCACACTCACACAATGGGCCAACCAGTTTGATGGTGATAAGATAGTTTCTGGGGCCCGCCCTCTCCCCCGTCGACTCCTGAGGCAGCCATAGCTAAAGTGGTTACAAACAAAGTTCATGCTCAATAATCCAGGTAAAAAATCCAGCAAAGTTCAGTCAAGCCATTGGACGGTTTCTTTTTTTTTTGGAGACATTTCGTCCTTCATTCAAAGGACTTCATCAGTCCAAAAAGGGATTCCAATCCTATTGGATGAAAGGACTGGACATCTTTTAATTTATTTTTGACGGAGTTAACTTTTTCAGCTTTTGCTGTGAATGTTCTGTAACTTCTGTGTGCTGCTGCCTGTCTTGGCCAGGATTCTCTTGCAAAAGAGATTTTAAATCTCAATGGGATTTTCTTGGTGAAATAAAGGTTAAATAAATAAAAATGAAGGACGAAATGTCTCAACAACAAAAAAAAAAAAAAACATCCAGATGACTTGAATGAACTTTGTTGGATTTTCTACCTGGATTACTGAGCATGAACTTTGATGTTTTGAACCACTTTGGCTATGGCTGCCTCAGAGGAGATGATGGGGGAGAGGGTGGGCCCCAGAAACCATCTTATCACCAGCAAACTGGTTGGCCCACTATGTGAATGTGCTCCTTGTGGGACTGAGTTTGTTGTGGCTTCTCGGACTGATGAAGTCCTTTGATTGAAGGACGAAACGTCTCAACAAAAAAAGATTCCTGGAGAAACTTTGACGGGGACTGCCACGTGACGGCATTTTAAAAATTTAGATGACAAAATGCCTACGTTTTGATATATAATATGTGTATCTTAAAAGATGTGGTAGGAAGAGTTTATTCGATGACTTGCTGAGTTTCCTTCAGGGACCTCTCCACTCTAGGTCATGTGACCTCACTGTGGCAGTTAGACGCTGTGAAGAGATCTGTCAGTGTTTTTCAATGAGGAAAAATCGAGTCTTTATTTGCAAATTACATCACCATGGTAACTCGAAATGCCAATAAAAGTAGAAGCACACATCACGGTGCCGAGCCGGTCGGTTTGTTATAAAATTTGTGGGGGTACACGTTGCGGTTCGGGACGCATTAAAGTTGACGAAACAGCAAGACCCTTTTCAGGTGGATAATAATAGGTGGCTGCCTTCAGGCAGTGCCCAATGAAAAAATGTCTGAACTGTAAGTAACAGAAGCAGCTGGTCATCAGCATCTATGTGTTTTATGTAGAAGATATCATGCATTAAAAAAGACCCTTCATGTCCAGTTTTAAAGAAACGATTCTGAGTTCAGATACTTGCGGGACTCGATGAGAGTTTGGATATGCGTTCTCTGAATTCAGAGGATTTGAGATAAAAACATCTACAATTAGATGTGTAATCTGTACAAGAAATGCAAAGTTCACACCTTCCAAAACACTTCAAGCCAGAACTGCCGTCGTCGCTGTGGTTTTTGATTGAACTGAGGCAACATGGTCAACCCACCTCTGTTACGCCTCTGAGCCATCAAGTGAGGCGCTAACAGAGCCGTAACAGGAGAGATGTGAAAGGATAAGCCGGCCGTGCTGGACACGGCTGCTCAATTAGTGATTTATGAACAGGCAGCTGGATGACGGACTGGTCTTTGAGAACATTTCCCAGAATAAATCTGTGGAATTTCCTTATGCTGAATATTTGGTGGTGAAAACTAAAAAAAAAAAAAAAATCACAAATCCTCTACTGCGATTGTATTTAAAAAAAAAAAAAAAAACATTTCGGGTTTCAAAATAGCGCCATCAAATCCCACTTTCTGTCTCATTTAACTGAATGTGCCCAAAGAGAGTTTGTTTTCTTAAAACGTTATTATTGTTTTTTGCAAGTTTCTTTAATTCCATACTGCTACCAAAAGTCAAAACACAATATTCTCATTCGAGCCACATGTTTTTCAAAACTGCAGGAGGACTTGCAGTTCAAGAACTGAGAAGGAAACAGAAGAATTACTTCAAAACCTGTTTGCACCCTTAAATATGTGCAAAAATACAACCACTGTCCTATTTTGATTCACATAATTTCAATAAGAATGTTTCAAAGTACTATAAATTTCTAAAAGTGCAAATTTTATCAACTTGGTTTAACTTTTAACTCGACTTTAGTGAAGTTAAACGTTTTTTCTGCTTGATTTGAGGACTGATTCAGAACCAGTTTCACTGTTTGATGGAGTTTTTTTGTCCATTTTGCATCTGCAAACCTGACTATGACCACAAAAACGATCCCTTAATAATCCTTAATAATCTAGATCATTTAAGCAGACAGTGTGCGAAAGTGGACTTGCATAA